GGGAGGGGGGGAAGGCTTCTTAGAAGGAGGCTGCCTCTTAGAAGGCACCAGCCCTACATCTACAGACAAGGCCCGCGCCTTCGAAGAAGCAAGCGTGCTTCTGGGACGCCTTCCCCCCCCTCCCCCTCCCCCCTTTGCGCCTGGCCGGCTCCTCCTCGGGCCTGGTACTTGGTGATCACGGTGCCGCCGTCGTCGCTGGGCGGGTTCCAGGAGAGCACCACCTCGCACCGCGGGCGATCTCTCCAGCGGGCATGTCCCAGGGGGAGCGGCGAGGCGGGGGGGGGCAGGCTTCAAGGCCTCAAGGCAAGATATGCTCACGACGGTCACCGTATGATGAAAAGTGGGGAGAGGATAGGGGAACCAAAAAGTACCTACCCATACCGCTACTCCCCGCGTTCTGTCCAGGATTTCGAAGCGAATCCTGCGGTGGCGACGAGGGCCTCTCGGGGGGGCCCCCAAGAAGTTGTGCTGAGACATCGTATGATGAAGGATGGGGAGAGGAGAAGGCAGACCAGAAGAAAGGCGGGATGCTGGGGAATGGCCCAAGTATCCGGCCGCCCCGAGGCAAATGAAGCGGTTGGTCGGTCGCCACTGTTGGACATCCGGGGGCCGTTCAAGGGCATCGTATCCGTCAGAGACACCAGGATGTAACAGCTACTGATGGCGCACTGGATGAGGAACCATTGGATAAGGACTCCAGGGCCTGGAAGCTGGTGACACTGTAACCGTGGATTGGCCATGGATACCACGACCGCCCTCATCAGATGAGAAATCTTCCAGGGTCTGCAGCCTCCAGGGCATAGTCCTTCACCAACGTCCCCACCCTGCCCTGGGGAAAATTCTGAACAGTCTGGGGATCCGCGTAACGAACACATCTGAGCACCGTGCGTCTGGAGCGCGAGCAATATTTATAATCATATCCAGTGCGCTTTGGACTTTATTGGAAGGGGCGCCGCAAGGCCGAGGGGCACGGGATGTTGATGAACATCGAGCCCATATCCAGTGCGCCTCGGGTTGCTGAGGAAGGGAGCCCGAATCTCCAACCTGCAGTGGATATGGACGCACTTTTTGCCCGCATGGAGGAGGACCTGACGCAGAGGTTCGGAGACGCTTCCTGGGAGGTCCCGCCGAACTCGTGGGCCCGATTAGGGGGCTGCTACGCCGCATACGCCAATAGAAAATTCGCCGGCCCAACGGGCCAGGGCGTGCTAAGATCTCCGGTAACTGGTTAACAGTATTAACAGTATTTCTAGTTCGCGCGCGCGGGGCGGCCCCTGGGGGTCCCCCGGCGAAAAGTACCCCGACCAACGCCCGGTCGCCGCCCGACCGCCGCCCGACCAAGTCTACTCAGAGATGGTTTTCCTTCTGGGTGCGGCCTCTCAGGCTCCCCAGAGCGCGCTCAGAGTGCCCCAAGAGGCCCCCAAGACTGCCCAAGAGGCCCCCGAGACGCCCAAAGAGCGCTCGAAGACGCCGAAGATGACCCCAAGACGGCCCAAAAGGCCCCCAAGACAGCCCAAGAGGCCTCCAAGACGCCCCAAGAGCCTTCCAAGAGGCCTCCGAAGAGAGCCCCAAGAGGCCAAAATCGTTGATTGTCATTGGTTTTTTCGATGTTTTTTGTGTTCTGGCTTTTTCGGCTTCCGGACGCTCCAAGACGGCCCAAGAGGCCCCCAAGACCGCTCCAAGACGGCCCACGAAGCTCCCAAGACGGCGCCGAAACGACCCAAGAGAGCCCTCAAGACGGCCAAAGTGCCGCCCAAGACGGACCAAGAGGCCCCAAGACGGGCCCAAGAGGGACTCAGGAGGGATACCGAGAACTCAAAAATGGAGCCCTCCGTCCCAGAAGGCGCCCAGGAGGTCCCAAAGAGGCCCCAAGAGGCCTCCAAGAGGCCCCAAGATGTCGCCAAGAGGCCCCAGGAGACTCCCAGGAGGCCCAAAAGAAGCCCCAGAAGGCTTCAAACATGTCTCCCAGGCGCCCCCGAACGGCCTCTCAACAGACCCCAAGAGGCCCCCCAAAGAAGCATCTTGACGACGACTCTATTTCGCCCCATCGAGAGACGACCCCCAGGGAACTGCTTCACCATCAAAACTCCCCACGCAACGCGTCCGAACGACACCCGCCCCCAAGAGCGCAACATGGGCAACGAACACACAGACAAAAACCAGCGATGCCATATCACGGGCCGGCGGAATGAGCGAAGCGATTCAATAAAGTATTCAATCGCACGGAGCCGCACCAAGCACGATAAGATACATTAGGCGGTTTAGGCTGGATCTCGACCAACGAAGTACCAGGGCCGATGCTGAATTCAACCTCCCTGGCGTTCGCCTGATGGAGAAGGTGATAGAAGCGGGGGGCAGGATGGAGGAGGGAGGAGAGGCAAGCGAGGCGTCGGCTCTTGATCATCATACGTCTCCTTCCGCCACGTGCACTTCCGCACACATCGCGATCGAGCTGAAAAGATCGGCTCCTGGAGCCCCCCCGCATCTCGAAACGGCAGCACGTTGTATGCCTGACGTGACCGATACGCTGGCTTCTCGAAAGAACATGTTTGATACATCCTCTCGTGTGGTCTGAGCGCCGAAGGATCACAGGTGTCTTGGCCCATCAGGTCGAAGCGGTGTCTCTGTGATCTCGACTGGCACATGCAGTGCGCAGCAAGTCCAAATCAGCATTACTGGACTGCTCACCCTTTGGCCTCCGCCAAGCCAAAACACAAAGAAAGGCGAGCTTGCATACGGGCGCAGCACTGCGTTTTTGAGCGAAGTGGCTATGTCCTTTGAGCCAAACTGCAACATATCGATCCTCACACAAACGTCTAAAGCTCTGACCCACATACTGGCAACTGCCTGCTTTACACTGACAATTCTACGGTCTTCACCCACCCGTCCCCCCAAAACAAAACCGGAGTGCCAGCCTGATATTTCCACCCCTGGCCCGAAACTGCCAACGAAACATCCGCATCCACTGGCCCCAAACTGCCTGCAATCCAGCATTTTCTCACCCGTTGGCCCGAACCTGCCAGCCGTGATAACCGCAACCCCCAGCCCCAAACTGCCAGCCAAATCAACATCTGTGCCAAATCTCCAACCTGGTATCCGCAACCCCTGTCCCAGATACCCCCGCCTCTTGGCCCCAAACTGCTGGCCAGGCTCACCCCCTCCAACTATCCTCACCCGTTGGTCCGAAAGTACCAGCCGGGCCTCCTTGTCCCGACCCCAAGCTGCCAGGCAGATGCCCTCAGCCCTTGGCGTATCCTCCTCCCTGCCCCAAGCCGTCAGCCAAGTATCCTCAAATCCTGGCCCGAACCTTGGCCTCAATTGCCAGCAAGGCATCCTCAACCCTGAGCCAAACATGGGCACCCAGATATTCTTACCAAAGGCCCAACACTACTAGCCAGTCAGATATCGGCACCGCTTGCGGGCAAACGTTCAAACGAACTGGGCTGATCGGTGGTCCTTTCAGCCCGCCAATTCTCTGACTCATATGTCCATCCGACATCTTCGAGAAGTCGGGCGTGGACTGGACTCCAAACTATGGGTTCTCCTCGTGTCAATATTTACAACGTGTAGCATAGCTTGTGCATGGTGCAGCGAATGTGCTGCAATCCATGCGACCCAATGTGTGCGCTGATACATGTGAGATGTAGCGTGTGTGGCGCAATGCGTTGTGGTGCCAGCTACGTCGTGCAACCTATGGTTTGCAAATACGTCTGAGGAGCTGGGGGCCATCAGCCCCACTGCTCTCGCAAACATCCCACCCACCCGCCCGCAACTTGGCTTGAAAGTACCCATGCGGCTGCGATTGCGGTGGCTGCTTGGTGCTGACAAGCGCATCGGTGAGGCCGCGCTGCGCCCGCAAGCTCGCGCGCAGAGCGTCCAGCTAGTTTGGCGCGACCGACGCGGCCGCGGTGGCGCTGACTGGGGACTTCTCAGCGCGTCTCGCACGCCGCGCTGGCGCGCGGGCACTTCAGTGCGAGTCGGTGGCTCTGGCGGGCGCGGTACCATGGTGACGTCGACAACGGCGGACGCGATGATGATAGCGACGATGATGTTGGCGATGATGGCCATGACGACGACAAGGCCAATGACGGTGTCGATGCTGGTCACGCCGGTGAGGATGGTGGTGTCCACGCGTCGTTGAAGAACGTTTGGGAAGAATTTCGACATGCGCGGGTGGCCGACGCGCGCGAGTGGCCCGCATGGTATCGCATGGTAGTGTTGCTGAGAGTCAGGAAATGCCGGAACGGTAGCCAACGCAAGGGACGCCTATTGGCGCCAAGCAGTCGACAAGCCCCGAAAGTCCGGCAAAAGACCGAGAGGAGCAAGCAGAGATCCGAGGTCAATCACACACCCAGACATCCGACCATGTGATTTGCTCAATGCGCGGCCCCGCAAGTCCCGACCTCTTCCCCGGGATACGTTGCCATTCGTCCCGGAGAAATTGCTGATGGCCACGAGCCCCCCAAACGGGCCCTCAGAGGCCGAAATCTATGAATAACCCTGGGATTGAAACAATCAGATCGTTTGTAACCTGGAACCCCGAACTTGCAAACGCAGAACTCCAGGGTGACATAGCCCCCCAGGGGCGCAGGTGCAGCGATGCGGACCTGAGGGCGGCAGGGCAGGAGGGGGGGGAGGGGGAAGGGAGCGGAGGAGGACGCGGAGCAGCACCGCCTGAGAGGTGAGCGGGGCCGAAGCTCACCCAAGACCCCTGGGGACCCAAGGGGGCGGGCACCAGCAGGAGCGGGGCCAACACCGAGGCATGAAAAAACACGACGGACGGGGCCCTTGGCTGTCGAAAAACGGTTCAGGATGAAAAGCCCGTCCCGGTGGGAACGGGTCGAAAATTATGAGGGGCCACGTCGCATCATGACGCCGAGGGTCTGGGAACGGGAAGTGGGGACACCGCGAAAATCTGCCACCCAGGCGACAGCCTGCCGATCTGCAGTGTCCAAGTGGCGCCCAACTCGCGGACAGCCGGCGCCCGCCCTGCCGCTTTTCCCACCACTCCGCGGGCAACTTGTTTCTGCTCCTGGCTGCGTGCTGCGAAGGAGTGCAGCGCGCGGCGGCTAAGAGCATGTTCGGTCGGGGACTTTCGCTCAGCGTGGCGCGGCGGCGGCCCCGGCGACACGCTACGCCTTGCAAGCAGATGTCGCGTCGCCCCGCTCCGCGCGGCGGGAGGGACGTGGACGCTCGGGGACCTGGACGTGGGCGGCGTGCCGCACCTAAGCGTTGGGGAGCCCACAAAAGGCGTACGCTCCCAACCACATGCATGAACACGGCCCCCGCGAGATCAGCCGCGTAATACGAAGATTCGCGCAATGCGTACTCCCCGAACCAACGTGGATTCATGTACGTGTACGTCGTTCTTTCGCTCCTGAAGCGTGGTTGGCCAGAGCCGGAGGCGCGACACGCTAAGCACGCGCTACTGACCGCACTCTTCCGCCGCCCTCTCCCCTCCGCGGCCGCGCCCCGCGAAGCGTGGCCCGAGGAGTGCTGCCGCCGGGTTTGCCCGCAGCGCTGCCTCCCCCTAAACAAAGCCCGCTGAACGAGCGCCTGAAGAGGCGCAGGCCTCCGCCCCGCTGGGGGCACGGGGGGTGGAGGACCGGGGGGCAGAAGTGGCAGGATGAGGTCCAGGAGTGATGCGCCGATTTCCCACCACCACTCCATAGGTGGGAGAGAAAGGAGGAGGAAAAGGAGGAGGAGGACCGATGTAAGCCCGAGAGTCATCAACGATGTTGAAACGATTCCTCCCTCCAAGTGCCATTTCCATAGGCCCCTGCAACGGTTCATTGCCATTGAGGGAACTGCCTCGTTGGAAGACAACCGTTTGAAGATTTTGAAGCGTGCCGACACATTGTTCTCTGGATTCCAGCGCCACGAATAAACCTGACTGCTGCATCATGACGATCCAGAATCATGCCAAGACGCCACGTTTGGGACTTCAACACCGCGAATAACTGTTGCGTCCACACAATCCTGAATCCTTCCAAAACATAATTTCGGGTACGTTGATCATGGGAATCCGTGAAAACGGTTTGAGTGCCAAAGCGAATGTGCGCTCAAATGTTTAAACCAATGTGCGCGGCGCTAAGGCGAGAGCCACATGTCGAAAACGACCCGCCCTCAATCCGTGAAACTCTTGCAAATGTTGAAGGCGAATGTGCGCGGCGCGAAATCGAGCGCCACATTTTGAAAACGGCTCGCCCTCTATCTGTGAAGCTCTTGCATCTGTTTAAACGGATGTGCGCGGCGCTAAGGCGAACGCCACATTTTGAAAACCACCCGCCATCAATATGTGAAGCTCTTGCAAACAATTTAAACAAATGTGCGCGGCGCGAAGGCGAGAGCAACATTTTGAAAACGACCCGCCCTCCATCTGTGAGACTGATGTCACTTTTCAAGCTTCAGAGTCAGAAGCGGCGAAAAAGTCTCAGACGAAACGCCCAGCCCGCCCTAAAACTTGCCTCGGGGTGCAACAAGGCAAAGTTATCTATGAGGAGAAGGAATGGAGTCAGGAGTCAGGAGCCCCGTGGGCGAAGTCCAAAGGGGAAGACTTCCCCATCATCTCTCTTCCCCGTCCTAACCTCTAAAAGATTTCAATAACCCCTGGGCAATAATAGGAAACAACTTTATTGAGCTTATTGACGGATTGGGACCCCAACAGTAACTGGAAATCATTATTCCCCCGCGGCGGCCACCGCACAGGCCTCCGCTGGAGTCGTCGCCGCCGCCATCGTCGAGGGTAGGAGGGGGAGGGACAAGGTTCTATTCCCCGCCGGTAGCTTAAAGGGGGGGTCCTCAACATTAAAGACCCTTCGCGGTTACCTATGGTAGTGGTGGTGTTGGCCCATCAAGGAAGGGGCAGGGCGGAAGGAACGCCCGCTGCTCTCCGGCGCTGTGTTTCCTCTTGTGCGGGAATTTGTCCTCGATCTCAGACCCCGGGGGCCAGCACTGGGCGCCCCGGGACCATCAGAAATTGATCCGGGAAAAGGGTTCGGACTTCTATAGGTTTTGCACGGAAAAATAAACACAACGTCGGATGTCTGGGAGCGCCGCTGGCAGCGTCCAAGACGGAGGGCCAGCGCGCTCGACGTGCTGCTCGTGGCCGCCGCTGAAGTCGGCGCAGGGGTGCTGCCGGTCGAAGATCTCTGGCGCCATGGGAGGCGAGGCGCGCGCCACGGCCACACCATTGAGCCAGCCAGCGGGCGGCCTCCTCGGCCCCGAGCAGCGGCTCGTCGCTCGTCGGCTCCCGCCGCGCGCCGCTCGCCGGAGATTGGCACAGAGGCGCCGCTGGCCAGACTTCTCGCGCCATGGGAGGCCCCGCGCGCGCGACGGCCTAGCGCACCATCAAGGCCAGCCGGCGGGCGGCCTCCTCTGCTTGGATCACCGCTAATGTTGCTAAGCAAATAAGGAAGCCCTGGGTGAATGACAGGGTGGAATATATGATATATGTGGTTTACCCTAGCATCCAAGTGGGTTATACATGCTCGAAATGGCATCGAAATATTGGGCAACTCTGCTAAATGAGCCTGGCCAAACTTAACCCAAATCTCTGCGCCGTGCAAGTTGCTCATGGCATTTCCACCCCACTTGGATTTGACCTACCTTGGCATCCAATTGGAATCCTCCCTTAGCAACCCTAGCGGTGATCCAAATTGGGAGACACCAAGCTACCCGAGATCTTCAATGGGTCAGTTCGTTTTTCGACTGGCCCGAGGCTTGGCGAGGGCCCCCCAAGGCCGAAAACGATGAAACACAGTGGCTTTGTTACATGCGTTGGAAGCTGCCCTGACTTCGGATTCGCCGTATCTTCTGTTTTTTTCCGACTGAAGGGCGTTGGACATGTATCGCACACTATGCTAACAAATAGTGTGGAAATGTCCGTCTCAGAAAAAGCAAAACGGATTTGTGTTGCCAAGGCGCGCGGGGAACAGTGACGGCAAATTGGGGCAACTAATTGCATCAACAGGGCAGGACAAAAAAGGTAACTATCTTCTCCACATCTACCCACCAGACGACATGCGATGTCCTGTATGTTCGGGCCCCTGAAGACCCGACCCTTTCCCCGGGGCAAGTTCTTCCTCTGGATTTGATTTCTGACGGCCCCTGGACCCGGCGAGGGCCCCCAGGGGCCAGAACGGCCAAACACATCCCGTCGTTCTTTCTCACGGAGCGAAAACGCTCCCAAATCAGGCTGGGTGTCTTCTCCTCCTCTAAGCTTCGGACGCTCGAAAGGGGTACGCAGAAAACGGGTACGATGCCCAACAACACATGTTCTCCAAAACCGACAGTGGCCGCTGTTGGGCGGGCGGCCTTCTGTCTCGAATGGACAACGTCCGTTGCGACACCGACAGCGCGTCCTGTTCGAATTGAACAGAACTGCTGTCGGTCTTTGTACCCTTTCTTTCCGTACCAATGTCGATCGTCCCGATGATCCTCGGCCCCGAGCAGCTGCTCGTCCCCGGTCGGCCCGCGCCGCTCGCCCGGCCGGAAGTCGGCGTAGAGATGCTCCTTGCCGAGGACCTCCGGCGCGTGGCGCAGCGTGAAGCTCAGCCTACCGCCCGCGGCGGCATCCGGCAGCACCTCCGGTTGGGCATTGGCGGCACTCGCTGTAGTGGGGCCTGGTTGAGTGATTGTCTACGCTCGCATATTCTATTTTTCACCCACGCCACCAGTTATGCTCGCGTCTCGAAAGAATCATGCACGGCCGTCAGACGACGACTCCGGGTGCAAAACTGGTCCCTTAGAAAGGGTCCGGACTTCCATGAGCCCCGTTCAAGTCAAAAAATACAGACATCGCATGCCTGCGCCAGACGACCGCGCAATGCTGTTTTGCTCTTGCACGGGTGAGCTCGCTCCCGTCCTGTCGCCGAGTCGCTGCGACTCCGCGCCCACAATGAAGGAAAGCCCGCTGGTCCAGCGGCCACGCAGTTTGCATGGAAGCCCATGTTGGTCAAAACGTTGGCGGACTAGCGACACATGGAAGCAAACAACGGCGACCGGCTCGCGGCCAATAGAGCCACACGCCCCGCGCCAACCGTCCGACAATCACCCCCTGTTCGCCGCCAGTGGCCGCTAAACGCTCCCCAAAACATACGTTCGGTGACATTCATGGCTTTCGTTAACACAGACCTAATGATTTGTGCTTGAGGACGCCTCCCCCGCCCCATTCCACCAACCCGAACTGCAATCACCCACCGAATATACGACAAGCCTGGTTCAGAGATTCCGGCATGCCTTTTGACTTCAAGGCTCTATCACTAGCGGGCCTCCCTCACCAGGGCCGTGGCTTTACCCGAAGACCCCTAGATTAACAACATACAACCATTCGGAGCTCCAGAAGGGGCTCTTGGATCTGCGCTGGGCCCCCTGGAGGCGCCTCGGGCGCCGCCCCCTGGCCCTCTCAGCGCACAAGGGACGGGGGTCCAGCGCGGATCCACGACATTCGCGAGGAGCTCCCGACATCTCGTGCTTACAATCAGACTGATAATAATGATGCGCGGTAAGGATGCAAGCTCCTGAGACGCCCACAACGAAGATTCTTGGAGCACTGAAAGGGTACCCATTGCGAGGGTGTCCTTGCGAAGGTTGCCCATCCTTGCTATCCATTTCGACTGGACTAGGCTTGTCCCTCTTGCTCGAACCTCCTCCCCCGCGGGCGCTCGCCGCGTGGCCACCACGGCGTGGAGCAGCCGCCGACAGGGGCCGCCGAAGAGCACCACGTCGCCGGAGCGCAGCGTGAGCACTCGGGCGGCGTCCATGCAGCCCAGACCCCCCTCGCGTCGCGAAGGAACATCACGATGCCGTTGTTCGGTTCTGACGCTTTCGTCTGCGGCTTTCCAGCCTCGGGATGCTGTCCAGCAGCTGCGCCTCGCCGAGAGCGCCACCTGGGTGCCCGAGCCGTCCTGATCGGCTGCCAGAGTGCCAGAGACCCGAATTTGGAGAAACCAAAAGGCACCAGTACTGCTACTCTCCGGACCTCTCCTGGGGTGCGTTCTGACCAGAATTTCGACGCGAATCCAGCGGTGGCGACGAGGGCCTCCCAGGAGATCCAAATATGACCCGAAAACGAAGCCCCCTCGGGTCGTGACATAATTCACGGCAGGAGGCGTTTCGCTATTTTCTGGCCTCTGGCCCGAGCCAGGCGGGACGGCTCAGCCCATGCGAGGCCAGCCGCCCGGGGCATCGGTAGAATGACCTCCAGGGGTCCACGGTGTGATGAAAATCATGACGTTGGGGGTCTGGGATCGCCCTCCGCCTTCCGAGCCTTCCGCTCGGCGGTGGCCATCGCGGCGGCGGCCATCGCTGCGGCCACTACTGCGGCCGCAGAGGCGGCCGCGGCGGCGGCGGCCGCTGCGCGGCCCCTGCTGCGCGGGAGGTCCGGAATGCGAAGGACGAGGGATGTGCTGGTGTCGGACTGCGAAATCCATCTCGCCCCCCAAGGATAGATTCACCACGGGCTCGTCCCCAGTGCCGTCATTCGCCTGCTCGTCCCTGTGGAAGCCCAGCGTGCCACCCTCTTGGGGTACTGAAGAGATGCCGATGCCGCAGATCCCCTGACTTCTCCTGAGGCGCAGTCTGACCAACACTCCGAGGATAATCCAGCCGTGGGGACGAGGGCTCTCCAGGAGAAGCAGAGGTATCGGTATCTTATGTATGATCCTCCTCTGACCTGAGGGGCAACGTTGGGGGGGCGGGGGCAAGGGGGGAAACATCAGGAGTGAATCGGCGGTAGTTAGATCGCAGATTGATCGGCGATTTTCCGCCGATAACGAGTCCGTAAGGTCGTGGGCGGGGCGGCCTATCGGGCCCCTATCGGCGATGAATGGGCGATCGGGGATCGACGCATCCCCCCCTGAGCCCATCCCCCCCTGGCGTCGCCCCTGATGACCTCTGGGTAGTACAGCATCAGCAGGTGGGAGGCCTCGTGCCCAGGCATGCTGGCGTCCAGGGCGCGCGCCCTCGACACCCAGGCCGCGCACGCGGGCAGCAGCAGGCCCGTCAGCCGCGGGCCGAAGCGAAGGCAGGCGTCGAAGATTCGGCCGCGCGTGCCCCTGGGCCCGCGCAGGGAGCCGTCGGCCTCGAAGGATCTAGACCCCCGACGTCACAGCGGTGTCACAGCGTCGACGCCCGCCCAGATGATCGTATACATACACACACATATATATATATGTAGATATATATATGTATACATGTATATATATATATATGTATATGCTGTCTATATACATATGTGTATATGTATGTATATATATATATATATGTCGGTTGCGATCGGGGGCGACCAATCGGTCGCGGCCAAAGGGCCGCGACCAATGTTGAAGCAAATCGGTCGCGACCGATACCAGAATTTGAAGCAACATCTGTTTCGACCGATCTCGTCGGTCGCGACCAGAAAAATCTGGCATCCAGCGATCAGGGAACGTCGACCCCGTGAGGTCTGGACCCTTTCCCTGGGAGCGGCGCTTCATCCTGGTCAGCTTTCCGTGGCCACGCCCGTCGCGTCTTTTCTCACGACGCGGGGGGGGGGTCCCCTCGACCTCCACCTTCGGAGCCTTCCGCGCGACAGGCCCCGCCGCGGCGCGGCCGCGGCGACGGCCGCCGCTGCGCGGCATCTTTCGCGCGGAAGGTGCGGAAGGTGGAAGTCGGGAACACACTGAACCGGGTCAATGCAAACCCCGGCTCATTCAGGCCTTGCAGGATCTTGCAAGATCCTGCAGGATCCTGCGCTCAAGCCCGGATCAGTGCACCCCTGGCTTTGCAGGATCCAACAAGATCCGGGGCTCTGACTGATCCCCGGTTGCACTCATCCCGTTTCTTGAGCCCCGAGGAGGTCGAGGGTCTGGGGACTGTAGCAGGACCCGTCGGCCTCGAAGAACGTGTGCGCGGGATTCCTCTGGCCGCAGCCCGCCGCCCAGGCCTCCGACCCCAGCCGCCTCTGCTCCGCGGCGTCCAGCGCGCCCCTCAGGACCACCAGCCCGGGCTCGAGGACGGCCGCTCCGCCCCTTTGCGGGACGCTCGAGAGGTCCACCTGCACGGCCTCGCCCGCCAAACCCAGGCCCCCTCGCGTCGTGACAGAAAATCACGACGGGAGTTGGTTGCTATGTTTGGCCCCTGGGGGCCCTCGCCAAGCCCTGTAACCCACAAAAAATAACTAAGGACAGGTCCAAAGGCATGGGTCGAGACCTCTGGTGGGTCGACAGCGTGAACAACAAAATCATGACGTCGGGGGCCTGGTTCTGCAAATGACAGATCAACGGACCAATGGGCTGGGTAAGCATGGGCGCCAATTGCCCCCTGCTGACAGGGCGCGGTCTCTCATGCGACCCGCGCCCGAGGTATATAAGTGCCTGAAGTACCTCAGCCACTTACCCTAGACACTCAAGGCTATGTCTTGGTCGTTTACTCGGTCAGGGGTTCATATCAACGAATATCATTCAATGAATGTTTAACTCGGGGAAGACTAGCGGAACGATTCCGTTCACGCGACCTCAGAAACGACCGTGCATGGCGCACATCAGCTCTATGAAACGAGCCGCCCGTGATGGGGGAGGCAGCGATGGCAATCGCTTGTATGAGGCCTCGGAAGGGGCGATGGGAGAGGTAGCGATGGCGATCGCTTGGATCAGGAGGAAAAAAGGGATGGAGGAGGAGGAAGAGGTGGGGTAGCGATGGCGATCGCTTTGGGGAGGTGGCGATGGCGATCACTTGGGGAAGGATGAGGATCAGGAGGGGCAGAGATTGCGATCGCTCGAAGAAAAAAATGGATGGCGAACGTTTGGGCGTAAATATTGTCAATGCCTTGGCAAGGCGCGCCCAATGATACCCGTTGCTGTCATGGCCGATGTGGGATAACAGGGGGTAAATACTGTTGTTGTGTGATATCATGGTATCGTGTGCTGTCCCCTCGCTGTCAAACCGGAAATTCAAGTAAAATGGAACATGCTGCATGTTGCTATCACACCTGACCATGTCTAACCCGTTGTTACCTTATCCAGACTTGTACAATAATAGCACAAGCGAGCGACCTCTTACAACACGATAGCCCAATAATGCCATTGGACACTACTTACGCTACGCAGGCTACTCAGGTGAGTGTGTATCATAACGATGCTGACCGTTGGCGCCTCGAATGCCCGAGCTGGCGAACAGCAGCGCTGCGCGGCGCATCGAATCAAGTGCTCGCGACCGCGGCCGCGCGAAAAGCAATCCCAGTACACAACGCGCCGCCAGCGGTGACGGGGAGGCGCATCGATGAGCGATGTCCGATCGCCATCACCCTCCTCCTCCTCCTTTTCCTCCTCCTCCTCCTCCTGTTCCTCCTCCTCCTCCTCCTCCTCCTCCTCCTCCTCCTCCTCCTCCTCCTCCTCCTCCTCCTCCCCCCCCCGTCAACGATGACCATCGCTCCACACCCCCTCCTCGTCATCCTCAGTTTCATCATCTTCCTCACGGTCCTCTCCCTAAAGATCGCCAGCGCTTGACCCCGCCCATCCCGCCCCATCGATCGGCATCGCTTCCCCCTCCCCCCCCCCGCCACGGGGATGAGGATTCTGCTGGATTCTGCTGGCCTGACCTCCGAAGATGCGAAACACGCACAACGGCGGCGAAAACGAGCCTGCCGCCTACCCCCAGGCCTGTCCTGGGCGACAGGGCGGAGACTTCTGAAGCGCACGCGGCCGAAACATCGACCACCGCGTGACTAACGGCGGCGGCGCGCTCCGCGCGCCGCCGCAAGTCCCCCGGCCTCGCCCTTGCTGGGGGATGAACCGCCGTGGGAGCTGTGAACCCCGGGGGGAAGAGAGGAGACCAGAGGGGGAGGAGGCGAAGAGAAGGAGGAGGACAATGATACACATACACATGCGCGCGGGCCCGGATTCGCGAGAACGGCATGGTCGTACCCGTCGGTGGGACAGAGGGGAATGCGAGGAGGGAGCATATACAGTGTCGTACGAATATTGCAACCTAGTGGTGCCTAAGCCCGGTTAAATGGACTACCAACACTTATGTGCAACTTGCCCCTTCCGGCTAAGTATGGAAAACTTATGTACGATACACCCATTTGTACCCATGTTGCACACAGCATAAGACACTGCGCCTTGTCAGTGTAGAGGACGAGCAGTCCGGCGCGCCCCGCGAAGCGCAGTCCACCGGAAGCCCCCCGAGATTCCCCCGAACGCCCCCAAGATGGGCACCCCGAGGCCCATCCTATAATTTGCCCTCCCCTCCCCTCCCCTCCCCTCCATTCCGCACATCAACCGTCCGCACCTTCCGCGCGGCAGCTGTCGCGCAGCGGCGGCCGTCGCCGCGGCCACAGCGGCGGAAACCGCCGAGGCCGCAGCTGCGGTCTCGGCGTTTGGGCGGCAGCCGAACCCGCGCCGCGAAGGTTTCCGTCGCGCGGAAGGTTCGGAAGGTAGAGGTCGAGCGAGCCCCCGGCCCTCGAGGTATTCGACACAGACACGCGGTGTCCTGATCTTTCCAACACTAGAAAAAAAAACTCATAAACATAACCAACACCAATCGCGGGCAATTTGGCGGGAGCGCACTGCTGCTGCCAGAACGCCCGCACGCGGGAGTTGTTCGAACGTGGAGCAAGACCGAATTGGAAAATGTGCGCGCCGAGCCCCAGCGAAACAAATGTAGTCGACAAGGCCAAGAAAGGGCGAGAGCAAAGTGGCAACCGAGAGGAGGAAGGGTAGGGAACACATGAAGGCGGATCCGAAACTTGGGGCGCAACGATTGAAAATGATGGAGGGGGGGAGAAGGAAGAAATAATGGTGGTTGGGGGAAAAAGAATATGATATGACGTTTCCGGGGCCCTTGTGGTCGCAACCCTTGAACGGGTGCCTTCCCGACTGGCCTTTCGAACCGCATGCGAAGTCCAGCTGCCTTTCGCTTGCCAAAAACCCCTCCTCAGCGCGGCGTTGTTCTACGGGCCGGTGGGGCAAACCCGCCGTCGGAAACGCGTCTTCGACCGATCGAATTGGGCCGGCAATGGCCACAGACAGCGTGGACTCATCCGTTTGGAATTAAAAACACGTTTTCCCCGAAGCTGGGCAGCCAACAGTTTATCATGTTGTGCGAAAACAAAAAAACTAACACCTGAGAGCCTAACATGAAGAGCTCTCCGCCCTGAAAAGCTGACGTCGCGCTCGTGGAAAATCGAACGGGTCACGCGTAAACGCAACATAATTTGTTTGGAAGCTGATTTCCACGAGAACTGACGAGAACTTCAGGGTCGCCTGGAGCGCCAGCCACGCGTCCGAGCCGCCTGGCAGAGCAACCACGCCCAAGACAGCACTGCGTTTGGTCAAGCAGGATCCGTCCAACCGAATGGGACACTCCATCCAGCCACCTCCCCTGGGCCTTCCGTTTTCCTCCTGCACGCCTGTCCCAAAGCCCACCCTCTGTTTGATATGGAAGTTGTCGTGGGCGGGTGAAAGAACGGTCTGCAACAAGGGCTCAGGCATTTGCTTTATCGGGGCTGGATGCGCGCCGTACCTCCTAAATTTGGTCCGTGGGCGTCATTCAAGTCGCTGCGAAGGGCAACGTTGTCCGAACCACGGCGACGCCCCTACTAGAAATGACAGCCGCGCGCAGTCGCACGCGGTCGCGCGCTCACGCAGTTTACGTGGAAAGTCACGGATGTGACACGCGCGCTGGCTCCCCCGCGTACCCAAGAAGGCAGAGCATGAGACTTGGAACGGCCACAAGAAAACTTGATTTAATATGTTGGGCTTATGTTTATGTGTTGTTCTTTCTTTGAAACACGGGGTCTCTGGAAGCCCCGATCCCTTATTCCAGGACGTGTTTCGATCCAGAATTGTTTTCTAACGGCCCTGGGGCCTGGCAAAAGCCCCCAGAGACAGCAACCGGCAACAAACAACTTCCCTTGTGGCCTTTATTCGACGCGGGCATGTCCGGGGAAATCCCCCCACGTCCCCCGGGCCCCCCGGAAGCCCTCTGTGGCGAGGCCGTCTCGAGGGCCCCCTGGGGAACGGCGCCCCGCCCCCTTCAGATTCGAAGTTGCGCTAAAAAATTGCAACATCGCAGGGAACCACAACCGTAGCCCTACCCTCGACTTCCACCTCCCGAGCCTTCCGCGCGACAGGTGCCGCCGCTGCGGCCGCGGCGACAGTCGCCGCTGCGCGGCACCTGCCGCGCGGAAGGCGCGGAGGGTGGAGGTAGAGGGTAGACCTCATCTTTCGGCATCATTCTTCAAACCAGGTCGACCTGTGAGGGTCCCGCGTCCTAAAACTGGGAGCAGACGCTCGGAGTGACAAAATCGCAACGCCCAGGTCTGAGGGACCCCGAACGGCGCCCCCGAACGGGCCCGAGGCTGGGTGATCCATGTCGCCATGGCGCCTGATCGCTCCTGCCAGGCCGCCCGCGCAGCTGCTCTGGGAGGCGGTAGGGCTTGGTGGCCAGCGCCGCCAGGCCCCTCGTTGGCCGAGCGAGCGCGGCAGCCACGGCGCGCCCGCGGGCGGCGCGCAGCCGCATCTCTCAGGGGCGCGGGCCCGAGCGGCCTCCAGCGCCACCCGGCGGGGCAGCAGCAGCCAAAAAGGCGACGGACCCCGAGACCCTGGCGTAGCAGTCGTGCCACAACCAGCGGTCTCGCCCCATGCCGGGCCCTGGAGCCCTTAATGGCGGATCGATCCAGTCCGAAGGATGCTTCAGATAGACGGGTGGTCGTGACGTCCCCCCATGCTGCAACTTGATCGTGACGTCGGGTTCCCAAGGGAAGGGCCATGGGCACCGTGAGGCACCGGCTGGAGGGCGACAGCCTTGAGCACACCAACCATGAGCACCGCAAGTGCGCCAGCGGCCGACTGCGACACCATGGGCACCATAGGGCAATGGCCATAGGGCACCGGCCGCACGGAAAGTACACACGGTAAGAGTTCCTGCTATACTTATCGGGCATCAGGGGGCACATCCTGCGTCTGGGCTCGGTGGGCTCATCGGGGGACAAGCCACTCTCGTGGGGCAGCCATTGGCAGGCCAGCTTCTTGTTTGGTGCGCCTGCTGCAGGGGCACGGCGCCCGCGCGCCCAACGATCGACTGCGAAGCGCAAGGCCAGCTGCACAGGGCAAAGCAATAACCGCTTACGTAAGTGAAAGCGTTGTTCAGAGAACAAGCATTGGGAGGCTCCACCAGGGACGTGGCCCAATCCCACTAGCACCTCTAGGGTGTAGTCGGTCGAACGGTCTAAATCTTTCCTTTTCCTTTTCCTTTTCCAACGCCCTCTTCCCTTTGGGGAGTGGCACGGGGTACTTTTCCCACTCTCTCTGATGTTTTTAGGGGGGTCCGCGAGCGGTCAGAGCGCCCAACATGACCTAAGATGGCTCAAGAGGGGCCCCCGATTCCCCTAGATGGTCCCCAACATGGCACAACACACGTAGTTGGAGATTGTTCGAGGTGGCATCTGACATGCTTCTAAGATCCAAGAGGCCAAAAGAGGACCACTAGACGGTTCCAAATGCTCTTCGTGCCCCCATCAAGACTTCCACAAGAGACAACAATCCTTCAAAACCCAACGGAAATTACTGATGTGTGCCTTCTCGCCTTCTCGCTTCCAATGCGTCTATGACTCCTCAGAGCCTCACGACGGCCCCAAGACGGCCAAGAGAGCTCCAAGAGATGCCGAAGAGGCCTCCGAGACGGCCTCAAGAACGCCCAGGCACGTCCCAAGAGGGCCCCGAAAAGGCCACAAAGGCGATTGATTTTGATGGCCCAAGGGGGCGGGGGGCTAGCCCCCTTCTTTGATCGACGCCCTTCAGAGCTCCCAAGAGGCCCCCAAGAGGGCTCAAAGAGCGCACCAAGACGCCCCCAAAGAGACCCAAGTGGACCCCTAAGGCCCTCCGAACTAGCCCCGGACGGGCACCAAGAGTGCCGCGAGAGAGTCCCAAGAGGTCCACCAGAGCACCTCAAGAAGATCTCAAAACGGCTGCAGGAGTCCTCGGTCTCCTCCTCCTCCCCCTCCTCCTCGTATTCGTTCTCTCCTCGCCCTCCTTTTCCTGCTGGCCGTCCTCCTCCTCGTTCTCCTCTTCGTCATCCTTCGCGTCCTCGCCCTCCTACTCGTACTCCTCTTCGTCGTCTTGGTCCTCCACCTCCTCCTCCTCCTCCTCCTCCTCCTTGTCCTCCTTCCCGTTCATTCGCATGCAGGCAAAACCAGCAGTGATCATCAGCATGCAGGCAAAACCAGCAGTGATCATCCCACGCATCCAGTGAGAAAGACAATAGAGCCCCCACTCCAAGAAATTGTCGTCGTCGGGTTTTCGCGTCATACGTAAATCGGATCCCCGGCGGCCGATGGGGACGATCGAGGCACCCCTGGAACGTCCTAGGCGAGGCGCAGCTGTTGACAAACTGTCCGAGGATGAAGATCTACAAGGAACCGTCGAAAACGTCAGACAAACTCGGACCTCGTCCATCGTCCGACCCGACCCTCCCAGACGGGACGAGCCGCCAGACTAACACCACGTCCTCTCACGTCTCGCGCTCCCCGAGATTGTGGACCGAAGACTTCCTCCCATCCCCCATCCCCCCAGGCCTCCGACTCCCTGACTTCTTCGGAATCTCCGGCCCCACTTCTCGCATGAGTGGACCTCGCGCCCCGGACCGATCTTTGGCGATAGGCCCTGCGGGGTAGGAACACGAGCCCGTTCGCGTCGTGACGAACATCACGGCAAGAAATTCTACTATTTTCGGACTCTGAGTGCCCTCGCCGGGCCCCAAGTCCGTCAACAGACGACCCGCGATGGGAAGCCAGTCGCGAGGAATGGGCCGAGACCTCCGGCAAAAGTCATGTCGGGGGTCTGGGAACGTGCCCCCCGATGCCCGAACACGGAAGAAAGAACAACCGGCCGTCCAGATTGATGCAGGACGCCAGGTCTGAGTTGTTCCAGCCCCCCCTCGTCCCCGCGCTCGCCGTCCTCGTCTAAGTCCTCCTCCTCGTCCTCCTCCTCCTCCTCCTCCTCCTCCTCCTCCTCCTCCTCCTCCTCCTCCTCCTCCTCGTCATCGCACTTTTCATCCTTGTGCCTCGTGCTCGTCCTCGTGTTCGTCCTCGTGCTCGTGCTGGTGCTCCTCGTCCTCGCGCCCGTCCTCGTCGTCCTCCTCCTTCTCCTCCTCCTCATCCTCCTCTCCTCCTCCTCCTCCTCCTCCTCCTCCTCCTCCTGCTCCTCCTCCTCCTCCTCCTCCTCCTCCCTCCGAATCCCCCCCTCCCCCCCCCCGCATCCCTGGGCCATGACCTCGGGGCCCGGGCAGTGGCAACGAGGACCCCCTCACTCCCAAGAGGCACCCAAACAGGTGGTAAACATAGAGGGAAAGTGACAACGAATCTGAAAAGATTCGTTGTCGGGTGGGGGGTCGTCCACCCTCTTTCGTCTCTTCACCGTTGAAGGGAAAAAGAAAAAGAGAGGAGGAAGTGAAGGGAGGGGAGGAGGAAGGGAAGGGAGAGGGAGGGAGGAGGAGGAGGGAATAGCAAGGGAAAGGAGGAGGATGAGGAGGGAGGAGGAGGAGGAGGACGGAGGAGGAGGAGGCAGCAAGTACGAGCCGCACTGAGGAGCGCTCCCACGGCTACGCGGTGAGCAGCACGACAGAGAGCGCCGCTCTGCGCGAGCGCCACCCGAACGGCGGCGACGCCGACGACGACGACGACGGCGGCGGCGGCGACGACGACGACGACGACGGCGACGACGACGACGACGGCGACGGCGACGACGGCGACAGCCTCTCTCTCTCCCTCCCTCTCTCTCTCTCTCTCTTTCTCGTTATCTCTTCTTCCCGTTCCTTCTCTCTTCCTCTTCTTTTCCTCTCTTCCCCTCTCTCTCTTCCTGCCTCTCTCTTCTTCGCTTCCCCCTGCTTTGCTTGCTGCACCGTGCCTGGGTTGTGAACCAGCCTCAGCTCTAAACATCGAGGCGGAAAGGATTCCGCTCTGCTCGAGGACACAGCCGCTGCGCCGTGCCTGGGTTGTGGAACAGCTTCTGCGACGGGACAGCCGCTGCGCCGTGCCTGGATTGTGAGCCAGCTTCAGCTATCATTATCATATTCTTCATAGCCGTTATCATTATCATTATTCTCCTCTTCCCCGTCCTCGCCGTTTGCCATGAGTGGTTCAAACCTACAAGCCGAGAGATCTAGTCAACTGCTTGTTGACTAATAGGTTAGCTGATGGCTAACGTAATATGTGGCGGCATGAAGACATTAGGCGTTACATTGGAGCTCGCATGGAAAACGGAACAAACCCTGGCAGACACGGACGCCCAAGTCAGCAATCAGAAGTTGCAGTATTTTACGGAAAAGCCAATCATCAAATTTGACGCTCCTGTGTTAAACGAAATTGCGGACTTACCCATGTACGCATTTCCACCATCGAACGTTAGTCAGAGAAACAAATGGGTGCTTGATTGCGTGCTCGAATGGAACGGGTCGTTTAACGACAATGATCTTACAGCTGTAAAGACTTTGGCAAATAATTTCAACGGAAGCACTGATTGGAGTGACCATTGGGACGGCAAGTACAATGACCATGTGAAAGGATTGATAGCAAAAGAGATGGAGACGGGCAACTACCAAAACTTACTACAACCGTTCGGCCCGTCGAGCTCGTGGCAAGTGGCGTACACAATGCAACTTGCCATTGTGCCCGCCGGCGATAAGTGGCACATTGTCAAACGCCTCATTTTCGACGAGTTACAGAAGCTTGTGAAAGTGGAAGCAGAACTCGCGTGTGGCTCTGTATACTGCCATTCGTGGTGGCCTCACAACCCTTATAACACGAAAAAGATATTCCAGAAAATCTTCGAAGGGCTTAGTGGGTTCCAGGTTCGGTACGGCAAATGGGCAGGAGATAGTGACGAGAAGAAGCCTGTTGATTTCAGCAAAATCGCAGCCGGCTATGCGTTTATGCGAAAGATGAGGCCGTCCTCAAACAACGAAGGGCAATTCGCAGAGTGGGTGGACATCTGGACCAAGAAGCCAGAGAGCCCAATCTTGGATTGGTCAGAAGCAAAGTGCAGATCGTTTTTGGAATGTTGTGCGAGAGGCGTGTCCACGGCCAGGACGATTGACTTCAATTTCACCACTTACAAGGATTTGAAACCGTGGTTCTTGGACTTGGTGCTGAAAGATAAGATTGCGACGCATACAGAGCATGGAATTCTATGGATCGGAATTTCGGAATGCGGTAAAAGCTTGTGTTCAAGGACACACGGTTTCATGGTGTCCAATCATTGGATAGCGACAGAGAAAAGGGATGACATGCAACCTGCTGTGGCGACGGCCAAATTTATTGATATGTTCAGAGGCGAAAGAAACACCGTGTTCAAACCGTGTATATTTAGTGACGGAAAGTTCTATCAGCTCGGCGCCGATCTTGTGAAAGCTTTGTTGTACCCCGCGGAGGTAGACGCCCTCCTATACGCCAGATGGGGTGGATCTGGATTCGACATGTATTCGTGCCGCCAGGCAGTAAGTCAACAATTCGACAGCAAATTGGC